CTCCAATTCATGGCCAATCTCATTTTAAGGTATCACAGATGACCATAGAGAGCCTACTTTCTGGCAATTTCCACCATGCAACCACTAGTCCACAAGGGTTCTCTATTGCGTTTCAACACAACAGGCTTAAAAATAAATATGCAAGAGATTTAGATTTTGGAAATGCTAAACACAGTTTTTTTTTTCTTCATATTTTAGAATCTTAATTACAGATGGACAGACATCTAAATTTACATTCAGAAAACCCAGCTACTCCAGGAAACACCCAAGCCTTAATGTTACAGATGCCAAAACTCATCTTTAGTCACTTTATTATTTGAGTTGAAAGTTTTTAGGTTTTCAGTAAATAGTAGTATCTTCCATGTGGCCTATGGAGCTTTTAGTTGGTACAACTAATGACTGAATCTTGTTTCTAAAAGTGTTAGCTAAATCTAATTGACCAACATATTTATACTTCTATTATTTAGATTTCTATTTTAATAGTAAATAAAAAGTCCATGATTGTTTTACAATTTTCATAAAACTTATTTCTTCCATTTATGTTGCAGTTAAGTGAACAGAAAATTTTTTAAAAATTTTATCACCAGGGCCCCCCCGGTGGCACAGCGGTTGAGCGCTGGGTTGTGAAGCTGCCCACGGCCTCTGCGGCGCCGGTTCGATCCCCGGCTGCTCCCCGGCCACCGGAGGAGGGTCCCACATGGCACGCAGACCTCTCCTGCCGCCCACTGCTCCCCTCAGCAGTGTACTTCTGTCCTTCTGCCTGCTCCGCTCCCCGCTCTGGCTCTGGTGAATTCTCTCACCCTCCCGCGCTTCTGACTGTACCCAGTGCATGTATAAACAAAACAAACAAACAAATAAAATAAATAAATAAAACATGCCTCTATTAAAAAAAAAAAATTTATCACCATACACATTTGCATTTGGGTTGATTTCATTCTCTGCAAGCCCAAAGGACATAAAAGTCAGTGTTCTAAAAGTGGCCTGTCCTTTCCATTTTTTTTTTTTTCAAAGATTGATTTATTTATACAAGAACCGGGGTACAGGACAGATGTGTGGGAGGGTGGGAGGATTCATCAGAGACAGAGCAGGGAACAGAACAGGCAGACTGACTGAAATACACTGCTGAGGGGAGCAGCGGAAGAGACAGGCGAGATCTGTCCTGCCATGTGGGTATCTCTGTAGCCAGCGGCGATTGAACCGGCACTGCAGACAGAGGCTGCAGATAGCTTTACAGCACTGCCTGTGCCAGCAGGGAGGCCCCTTTCCATTCCTTTTAAAATGAAGGTTCTTATGGAGTAAAAGAAAGAATTTGAGTTCTTTAGAGTTCAATTCAGCAATAGCCTCAAGGATTCTAAATAATTCCTTGATGATTTGCTGATCCTGCTAGATGTGGCTCCATAAAAGTGTCCAGCTCAGGTAAGAGGGGGCGACTCTCTTCCCCAAGTGGAAAGAAGTGTGTGGCATAGCAAGGACCACATAAGCAATTGTTCTACTAGGGTTTGTTTTCTTTTTTTTTTCAAGTGATGCAATGGCATCTTCACATCATATTTCAACATTATTTGGTCTCTAAAATATATTATTCACAGCGAGATCTAGTTTAATATAGGAGGGAAATTTAAAACTGGATTTGAAGAAGGCCCTTTATCATTAGTCCTTCATCATTTCCTCTACCCCAACTTCGTACACTTAGAACAGTTTTATAAATACATACACACTGGACCCTACCTCTAACCCCCCTCCACTTCAAGCTCATCTCATATTTCAGTCCTTAATTATTCCCTGTTCACCAAACAGATTTGCGTATTTGATCTTCCCCTTGTTTGGGGAATCAATTCCACATATACACCAGACAGTAAAGGACACACATTTAGAGCTAAAATGAAAAGACAGGACCTTCTTGAGCTAAGAAAATTTATTTTTAAAAGTGATTTCAATAACTAATCATTTAAGTCTATAGAGGTTGTTGTCTTACCAAATATTTACATATATAAAGAGTTAGCAGGGTGAGTCCCTATGTAAGAAAGTTTTTCTCTACATTCTGGAAACATTTCAAGCTACAACTTATTAAATCGGGGGGGGGGGAACCCAACCTGTGTCACTTGGTTTATAGCTCACGTTTCTGCCTCTGTGAGGTTATCGGAACTGCTAGAGAGGCCTGGGCAGCTGGGCCTGGCATTTCCCAAGCATTTATTTTGGCACGCGGCTGGACCCAGAACTGGTGCCAGTTTTTAGACTCTTTGGCCACTGACAAAACCATTGTTTCCAGATACTGAAAACAACCCAATCCAGTACAAACTTTTCCCTGACCCACAACTTGCCCTGCAGGCAATGGGTTTGCGTCTATTATATTCAATATCATCAAGAAATCATTCTGAAGTATTTTGATCAACACAGTCATTGGTGCTACTCTGACAGTATAAAATCCTGTTCTCCTGGACAACTCTCTGGTTTCTGATGGCACATGTGCCTTTTACATTCCTTTGAAGAAGCATGATCTCATGGCTTAAGAATCTGAAAATCTACTAGTCAATGTTATGGGATAACCACTGTGGCAGGTGGAACAAAATCAACAGTTAAGGTATCTGGGCATAACAAGCAAGGCTAATATCATCCCTTTTATTTGTTTTTTAACATGGCAGGGGCAGACAAGGGAAAAGAGGAGGGAAAGCATTTAATACACATAGGAATTATCTTCTAATACTTGCATTAAAACAAACTCAGTTACACAGAAAAATCACTGTTATAATATTTACCTACTAATAAGAGAAAATGACACTAAATGCACATTCTATAAAAGAAAAATTTGATAAATTAACCTTATCAAATTTGTTTTTGTGCTTCAAAACACATTAATAAGAAAATGAAAGCCTATGCAACAGACTGGAAGAAAATATTTTGTAAACACACCTCTGATAATGATTTATCCAGCATATGCAACAAATTCTTGTAACTCAACAGAAAGAAGACAATGCAATAAAAATGCACAACTATCTCCGAAGAAAATATTTGGATAGTTAATATGCACACAAAATAAGCTCAACACCATTCATCATTAAAAACCACAACAAGATAGCATTTCACCTTCTAGAATAACTATTACAAGAGATAAGGTATAACAAATGGTGGAGCGGATGTAAACAAACAGTAATCCCTATATACTGGGGGTAGGAATATAAAATGGGGCAGCTACTTTGGAAAACATTCTGGCAGTTCTAAAAGGTTAAACATAAATTTACCCTCTGATCCAGCAGTTTCATGCCTAGGTCTCCAAGAGAAATGAAAACATGTCTGTGTAAAGACTTGCACACAAATGTTCAAAGTAGTACTATTAACAATAGCCAGAAACTGGAAAAAACCTAAATGGCCATCAACAAGTAAATGGATAAAATGTTGTATATACAGAGAAATATTATTTATAATAAAAAGGAACAAACTTCAGATACATGCTACATCATAGATTAATGTCAAAATCGCTATGCTAAGTGAAAGAGGCCAGATATAAGCGACCACATACTGTACGAGATGCTCCCAAAAGGAGCATCTATAAACAGGAGACTCGTGGGCGCCTGGGGCTGGGGGCAGAAGTGAAATTAACATTAAATGGACATGAGGGATCTTACTGGGATGGTGTAAATGTGCTAAACTGATGTATGGTGAAGGTTGTGTAACTTTGTAAATTTACTAAATATTACTGAACTGCACAACTGAAATGAGTGAATTTTATGATATGTAAAATATGGCTCAATATACTTGCTTTAAAACAAGATAAAATCCTCACAGAGACTGCTACTTCAGGCCACTGAACTAAGATGGCAACTAGCATCATTTTGGCCAGTTCTGAAGACTGATCTAGGCTTATGCTCTCAGTAAAGTGCAACACTGAGTAAATTAACCACTGGCTGCAGTTACTAGGTTATTTTTCATCAACAATAAAAACAGGTATTTTAGACAAAAGATCTAGTTATGTTGACTAAGGATGTTATTTCTAAACCAAAGACAAGGCAAAATCCTTTCAGAAAGACAGGAGCCTAAATACACTTTCTGCATTTTCTAAATTGCGATGATATACATACACAAAGTAGAAAAATCTTAAGTGAATAGTTCAATAAATCTTCACATGCATATATCCATGCAACCACCACTCAGACCAAGATGCAAAGCCTCCCTTTTTTACCCAATATTCCACAAAGGTAATCACCCCTTTATTCTAACACCACTGAAGTATCCTAGTTTTGTCTGTTTTTCTGAACATTTTATAGATGTACAAACTGCACACAGCATTGCACTCTTTTGAGACTGACTTCTTTTGCTCAATAGCACCTCTGTCAACTGTACCTGATGTTGCTGATAGCAGCAGTACACTTGTGTCATTGTTGTATAGATATACAATTTATTCACTTCTACTGACTGGCATTTGGATGATTTTCAGCTTTTGGGTAGAATGAATAAAACCGTTATGAACATGCTTATATTTGTCTTTTGGTGAACATAAGAGCATATTTCTGACAGGTATTCAATTCAGGAGTGAAAATGCTAGGTTTTAGGTAACATACATATATTGCTTTACACATGTTTAATAGATCTTGCCAAGCAGCTTTAAAAAAGTGGTACAGCCACTATCAATAATAGCGCCACCTTTTATGACCAAGACTGCTAGTGGTGTTTGAGTTATTCCTTAGAAATGGAGGGACTTGGTAATTGTCCTATTTTAAAATAGCCAAATACTGTGAAATACTGAGCTCCTGGAATGAGCGAATTGAATTCTTGCCTGACTTCCATTCTGTTCACAATGGAAGATGATTTCTGATAATAAAAATTATACCAAAATATTCTTCATTTAATAAAGTTTTTAAAGTTTTTTATCCAAACACAACACAAAAAATGCTTAAGTCAAAGATGATGAATGGAAAATTTAAATACTGTGCAAGCAAAATATATTATCATTTAAAGATACACATGCACAAAATAAATGGTCATTAAAAAAGAAAATAGCACCTTACCTGCTACTGAATTCGGCCGTGGCATAAGGTACAGAGGAATAGATTGTACTGACTGTGATAAAACTGTCTCCAAATTCCTCTCTGGGATCTTGTTCAGACTATAGGTGGAAGCCGTCATGTTTTCATCCACTCGATACAAGCAAGAATCCATGCTGGACTTTTGCGACTGCCAAGGTTTCAGGTTTCCTCCAGATCCTAATTCTTTATTGCTCTCCCCAACATATTTTGTGCGATCCACGTTTTCAGAATAGCTTGTCAATGTAGCTGGGAAAAATAAAAGGTTAGACTGAATTAAAAAAATAATCTCGAGATTAAGCTATTTACCGCTATCCAAATTCATGACTAGGTGAGAATATCAGAGGCATTATTTTTATAAAGTTACTGATTGTTTCATCTATACCATGAAGTGCAAATAATTGAAACCAAAATATAATTATCTCTCACATAATTTTCCTTTTTTTTTTTTAAAGAGTTATTTATTTCTTTATACAAGCACTGGGTACAGTTAGAGCGCAGGAGGGTGAGAGAACTCACCAGAGCCAGAGCCGGGAGCAGAGCAGGCAGACTGACGAAGTACACAGCTGAGGGGAGCAGCGGGTGGCAGGAGAGGTCTGCGTGCCATGTGGGACCCTCACCCGGCGGCTGGAGATTGAACCAGTGCTGCAGAGGCTGCAGGCAGCTTCGCAACCCAGTGCTCAACCGCTACGCCACCAGGGAGGCCCACATAATTTTCCTCTTATCTCTGCCATCCGTTTTCTTTAACAACTCTATTTGAATTAACTAACTAAATAAATAAATTCACTCATCAGTGCCAAAAGACCAACAACTAGGGCCTATCAGTGCTAAGAATTTCATCAGAAAGGAAATTTACATAGTTTTCATGGATTACTGGGGAGCCTCCCCTCCCAGGTCTCCAAAAAGATCTTTATATCTGTTTTATCCTATATTTTCCCTCGCTTATTTCCTGGTCCTTTATTTGTAACAAAGAATTAGAATAAAATAAGTAGTCAGTAATTAGAAGCTGATCTTGGGAAAGAATCTGTCCAGCTAAGGAAATAACACAGGTCTTCTTGTATACCTCTTCTCTGGAGATGTAACCCTGCACTTGAGTCCCTCACTGAAAGCAAATGAAAATGGAAAGGGCTTCTGGAATTTCATCTAGTCTTACCACTAATTATAAATAGGAAAATTTTCAATAACCCTAGAAATGCAAAGATTATAAACATCAAAATCTAGATTATAAAATCTTAGCAGTAATTATAAAGCAAGAATAAAAGATGTCACCCCAGGAAAGTTTTTACATTATAGTTCGTACTCTCTTTTTACATTTTAAATGTACTTATTGTTGAAAGAGGGAGAGAGAGAGAAAGAGACCCAAGTGCATGAAGTAATATCTGTGATCTTTTTTAGTGGATTTTCTCTTTAGAGACTTACTGTGGTTCTGGACTTTATAATAAGTAACAAGGGAAGAAAATGGATTACAAAGAATAACTAAATTTTTCTTTAAGAAAGAAAATCTGATTTGCTGTCATAAAGGACAAAAGTCTACGGAAGAAGAAACCTAAGTGAATGAGGAAAAGGTGGACACAAGTGGAAAGAGGAACACTCTATAAGGGTCATCCTCAGAATTAAAAAAGAGAAGGGCATATTTGGCACCTAACTTGAGGATGGCACTCAGAAATATTACAGAAACTCTTTGAAAATCTTACAAGTGTTTGGAAGCTCCAATCCCACTTAAATTACTCTCCACTTCCCCTCAGCAATTGGTCACACACACCTGAAGATAGCACCCCCACATGTACTGGAAGGGACAGCTAACAGAAAGAAAGCGAAATTACACCTCTAGATTCTGACCAGCCTTTTGGGGCATGACACTGATAATAAAGTAGGTAGTGGAAAATCGGGTAAAAGAAAGGAAACAGTTTCTTAGATTCAGAAACTAGTTCAAAAGAGAATAAATTAGGAACTAAAAAGCAACTCCAGGGGCTTAACTGCCATACATCCAAAGGGTTTTTGACAACTGGTAAAGAATTAGCTCCCTAGAAAAAACTTATAGTCCTTTTTCATTAATAGATAAGCTTTCAAAATGTTAGTAATCATAATAAATTCTAATATGTACTAAGCACTAACATGTACTTATGCAACTTTTAAATTGCATAAATGCATTTGATCGTCAACACAACACTGAATAAAGCAGGACTGGTGTGACCATCTCCACTGCATGGGTGTGGAGATGGCCGCTAGGAGAGAGGCGGTGTCCTGCCCACTCTCACAGACTGGGCCTCTCATAGAAAAATATACATACACATATTTGTTTTACAGTACAGCTAATTTATCTCTATTACTTTTTTTAAGTTGCGGTAACATTAGTTTACAACACTATATATGATTCAGAGTGTATTATTTATTATTTCCAGGTGAAACAAAGATTAGTAGAAAGATGATGAGTCTCAAATAACTTCAGAGATTTTTCTGAGATAAATCACTATCACAGGATGAAGAACCGCTTACATGAAACGTCTGTTTATATTGCTACATGGGCCAGGAAGAGATAATGTGAAGAAGAAGGAATTACAGGCTTATAAACAGGCTTAGTGTAAATAAAATTAACACCCTATATTTTAAAATAGTTTTACTGAGGCATACTTTACATACCATAAATGTACCCACTGTAAACACATAATCCAGTGATTTTAGTAAATCAGTAAAACTCAGTTTTAGAACATTTCCATAGCTCCTAAAAGTTCCTGCTTGCACTTAATCTCTGCTCTCATCCCAGTCCTAGGCAACTACAATTGCTTTCTGTCTCTATAAATTCACCTTTTCAGCAATTTCATGTAAACAGAACTATATAATATGTAGTCTTTATGTCTGGCTTCTTTCACTTAGATTAATGTTTTGGGGGTCCAATCATTATGTAACATTTATTAATAGTCTGTTCCTTTTTATTGCTGAATAATATATTCTACTGTATGGCTATTCCACATTTTACATATCCATTTACCAATTGATGGATATTTGGATTGTTTCCAGCTTTTGGCTATTATGAATAATGCTGCTTTGTTTGGACATATGTTTTCATTTCTCTTGGATTGATTCCTAAGAGTAGAATTGTTAGGTCATATGCTACGTTTATGCTTAACTTGTAAGTAAATGCCAAACTGTTTTCCAAAGTGGCTGGAATACTTTACACTCCACAAGTAATGTAAGAAGGTTTTTGTTTTTTCACATCTTTGCCAACACATGGTGTTTTTTATTTGGTAAGGTAACAGCCCATTCAAGTGGGTATGTAGTATCTCATTTTCGTTTCAACTTGCACTTCTTTAATGGCTGATGCTATGGAGCAACTTTCTGCAGGTTTAATGGGCATTTATGTATTTTGTTTGGTGAAATGTCTATTCAAATCTTTTGCACATTTTAAAACTGGCTCGCCTTCTATAATACTTTAAAACTACTAGTAATAATTTTTATCTTTATTCAGTACTGCAGTTGACAAAAACTAAGTTTTTTTTTTTTTATCCTGGATAACAAACTGAGGTCATCTGTCCTGAGACAGAATTATTTTAGCACTATGTACACTGTTTTGTAATAATTAGGACCATGGATTTTAAAATCACACAGACCTGAGCTTTAATCTCAGCTTCACCACTTACAATCTATGTGACCTGGGACCAATTATTTTTGGGTATTAATTTTCTAAGTCTAAGAAAGATGATGATACTATTATGTAAGATAGAGTTATTTTACAGCTAGAATGGGCCAACCCCAGCTCATCTCTGGGGATACCTAGAAGTCTGGTATTGACTCTTGGCCAAGATAAGGTCAACTGGGATAACTAATGATTTATAATTTGCTGTTGGAAACTCTCCTGGCAGTGCCCAGGACTAGAAGTTTATTAGCAACTTATACCTGGAAGACTGGTTGAGTCTACTGAGGTGACTCCATGAACAGAGGGGCACAAAAATCTTGATTGTGACCTTTTGGGGAGCTCCCCTGAAACCATTGTGCAGCTCTTGGTGGTTTATATCCTGGGGCTATCACAAACCATAGCCCAGGGGACTAAGAAAGGATCGAAGTGGCACCTGGAGGTGTCCTGTGTCCCCTGTGCTTGTCCATGTTCTCCTTCACCCGCTAGACTTTATCTCTGCATTTCTTTCCTTCAGATTCTTCACCTTCCAAGCCTTCGTCCACTTCCATTTAACTAGTTCCCCTTAACAAGTGTACAGAAGGCAGTAAGTATATGACGGCAGTATGTATATGATAACCTCCACAAAACTCTGCTAGCTCAGTACAGAATAAGCTTCTGTTGAATCACTTCCATTGACAGATAGACAGATGTCTGTGCATTTACAAGAGCAAGTGAAGTAGAGAGAATTTTTTCTACCCACCCCTTCCTGTCAGGTAATATCCTTATAGGAGTCAGTAAGCAGGGAGGGATGCCTTTTGTCTTAATCTAAAAAGGAAGCAAAAAGACACCAAGTGATTAGATATAAAGCAACTCACCAATGATGCCACTATCTCTGCTTTCGAGGGTGGAGGTTGGACTGGTGACAGCCCCATAGTTACAGTCCTTGGCAGGTGCGCTGGTGCTGACAGGCGGGAGGGTGGAGCAGGGGCTGCCGGCTGCGGGGGAGGCAGTGCTGCTTGTCAGGGTAGAGCAAGGGCTGATCCGCTGGGTGATGGCTGAGGTCTGGAAAATTGGAATGAAAACAAAGTAAGGCAAACTAATCAACTGTTAAAGTAAACTGTATCTTATAGTAAGAGATAAGGTGCTTTTTTTAGAGAAAAAGAAGAAACACACACATCTTTTATAGCTATTTGGCTCTATTTGTTTTGCTTTCAAGGATAAGCAAATTAAGATGAAACCTGAGAATTTCTTTTTTTTTTTTTTGTTATTCCTGGTTTATTATAAAAGATGATGTAAATTTCCTGATGACCAATTATACTCCATGTTTTCTTTTAGGTTTGCAGTTTCAGCTTTTTTTTTTTTTTTTTGCTTTGCTTTTTATTTATTTATTTATTTATTTTTTTAATTTGCTTTTTATTTAAATTAAAAAAATATTTTTACATTGTTGTTCATTTTTTGTACAACATTTGATTTCTCCCCCTCAGATGTAATCCCTATGATTTTCCCGCTACCACATCACCTGTGAACTGTCACCACGTTCCTTTCTGCTCTTCTCTCCCGTTTTGACCCCTCTCCTTCCCTCTCCTCTGCTACATGCCTCAAATCTATGGTCAGCTTGGTAGTTTTGTCGTTTTCCTGACCTTTTGTTTTGTTTCCCCATATTCCACATTTTAGTGAAACCATCTGATATTTTTCTTTTTCTTTCTGACTTATTTTATTTAGCATAATCCCTTTCAGCTCCATTTAAGTTGCTGCAAATTACAGGAGTTTATCTTTTTTGATTGCTGAGTAGTATTCCATTGTGTATATGTACCACATCTTCTTAATCCAGTCATCTGTTTTTGGCATTTAGGTTGTTTCCATAACTTGGCTATTGTAAATAGTGCTACAATAAACATAAGTTTCCTTTCAAATTAATGTTTTTGTGTCCTTTGGGTAGATACCTAGGAATGGAATTGCTAGATTATATGGTAGGTCCATTTTCAGAATATTAAGGGCCTTTCGCCCTAGTGAAGCTTTCCCTAGTGGATGGACCAGCTTGCACTCCCACCTGCATGTTAAGAGGGTTCCTTTTTCTCCACATCCTTGTCAGCATTTCAAACCTGATATATTTAATATGAACAGAGATTATGGCCAGTTTTTCTGGTTTGGAAATTTCTGGTGTCAAGTATTCTTTATCATTATCACCCATTAAAAGAGGATTTTTTTTATTGAGTTCAATTTTTCACTGCTGTTTTGAATCATTGAAACTTTTTCAAAGGTTTAGAACTTTGTCTTATTAATAATTTTCTTTGATAGAAAAAAAAATCCCTGCAGTAAGGGAGAAAAAAAATAAAGTTCTTAATGCAAATAAGTTTTTTACTGAAACACAAGGTACTATCAAGAGAATGCAGTAAAAACAATGCTCATTTAATACAAAACTAAATAATATCTCTATAGAAACTGATTACAGACTGAGATCACTTTGTATCCCGAATGATTCTTACAAATGAAATTAACTTTTTAAGTTTTTATTGAAAGGAATTAATAATCACCAAAAAGATTGGTGGTAATATACTCTGGTTTACCAAATTTAATGACAATTCATTTTTCTTTAACTCTTTCTAACCAAATCACTGAAATGATGAAGGTATATATTTTTCAAACACTAAAGAAATTTTATCCTTTTTGAAAGGGGAAATGACCAGTGACAAAATTACTTGAAGGAACACTAATGAAAATTTGACATAATTAGAAAACTTTCAATTTCTTTACCTATAGAGACTCTAGCCATGGTCTCTTTGCAAAAAACTGAAGGTTTATATTCCATAACCTGACTGGAAAATATGTTGAATACCAGATATGAGAATATTAAGGCTCTTTAACTCATTCTAAAATGATTTCCAAAATTGCTCTTCCTGATATTTAACCAACTGTGTTAAAATCAAGTTTTGATTTTAATTTAAACGTTATAACTGGGACATATTAAGACATAGTTGACTCAGTCAAGCCACAAGTGACATTCTCAGAATCCTGGAAACAAACTTTTTCAACTATATCAATAATATTAGGAACTGGTTAAAAAAAAAATATATATATAAGCCTTCAAATCCATAACAGTTCTCTTCTTCCATATAATTATGCTTGAGGGAAGAGTTTCAATATCTTTGTAATCTATGCTATTTTTATAAAACAAAAACTGGTCTATGAGAGTAATAATTTTTATCTGTGCATGCAACAGAATCACCAACCAAGCAGGCTGCTTAGCAGGGTGGACTCATAGTGAGCCCCACATCAGATGTACTGAATTAGAATCCACACTCGTTAGGATTTCACATGGCCATTTTTAATCCTTTCATTCTTAGTTTCAGAAAAATTTAGGTAGATGAAATGAACTGTACTAGGATCTTTCACATTTAACATTTCACATACAGTCATTCCATATTGAAAGTTTCATTTTTATATAAGACTTCTATACCAACTCATTTCTCTTCTTAGTCAAGATTTCTTAGTTTATCCTTTGAGAAGGTAAACTGTATTATAAGCATAAAAGAGTCAATGTGGTGGTTAAGGCCAAAGGACATACTATTTTTGCTATAAGTTATTTTCTGCAAAATGAAGCATGTCATATAATATATGTTTTAAAAACTTTACCTGTAAAAGCTAAGCTTAAAGGTCAAGCCATTTAGGAAGGAGAAAGCTGTTCCTGATTTAGGAAATTATTTATGACTTATGAAAGTGGCCTTATATTTACTGAAGGTTAGTGAGCTATAGAAATCTCTTCTAGATACAGAAAACATTATCTACTCTCCATGCTGCAGCCTAAAATGGATGTCTAATTAAGCCAGTTCAATTGCAAAAATCTTTCAGTGGGTTTTCAACTGTCCTCAGTGTTCTCCAGAAGGATACAAACCATCCAATCTGAGTCTCTTAATGGTTCTACAGTTACACAAGGAAAGACCCTAGTGATGAAAGTATAAAGTAAATTCCAACACCCTACAAAGTACTGAGACGAGAAAGGGAAGCAATCAATTGAACATCAACACTCAGTCACCCTGAAAAAACTACAGACTTGTCTGTCACCACTAATGCCCCTCTGAGGACATCATTAGTATATGGCCTTCGTAAGTAAAGAAATCTAGCCTTTTAGTATATACACCATGTAGCTCAGAAGTGACCAGATGAGCATGACCTCCTAGTTCTTATTAACCTTTCAATTATTTCAACAGAAGTTGCAATGATCAATTTAGTTACTTTCTTCTGTGGTTCTAAGAGAGTTTCATGATATATTATATTCCAAGGAGACTATCATTTAGCTTCATTATTAATAGTTTACATTTGTGTAAAACTTTAGTTAAAAGTACAATTTAATTTACTCCTTATACACCAAGTATGGCAGGCATAAAGAATACTATATCCCTCATTTAAGAAATATGAAAATGAAATGGTCCTAAGTCTGAAAGTTATAAAGCAATTTCCCCTAAAAAATTCCTGTTTATATTTATTACATACCAATTACATCATCTATTCCTTTACACCTTTTATTTATATGATATCTTACAACTTACAAAGTGTTGTTATAGTCATGACTTAACTTATTCCTCACAATACTCCTACCAAGCATTACTGCTTCATATTATACTAGAATAGCACAGTGTAGCTTGGAGAAACTATGTTGTAAAAGCAGGCTTCCTGCACTTGAATTTTATTCTATTACTTTCTGGTGGTATGAATCCATTTTTTTTTTTTTTTGTATCTGAAAATTGTAATATAAATGGATCCTACCACATTGGTTAGAAGGAAACTTAAACAAAAGTACCAGTAAACATTTCATCAAGTCATTTATTATTATCTGTGAAAACCCTTAAATTCAGAGGTTAAATGACAAGCCTGAATTTACAAAATGGTAGGTAGCAGAACTAGAATCAGAACACATATATTCCACCTCTTGGTTCAGTTGCTGTTCTATTATACTGTATTTCTTTAATTACATTAATTTACTGATAGCACTCATTTACTTATTTGTTCCATAAATGGACAGGTAAGGCACATGCCATAGACAATTAGTTTTATTCAGAAATCTCTGTAACATGCTACTGACATGAGGCATCTCAAAGACAATCAAGTATAAATTCCAGCACCTTAAGAAAAACAGCTTTGTAGAACGCATACTATCAGTGGCAACTAAACAGCAAGAGAGAAGGCTTGTGTCATGTTCTTGGTCATTAATAGAATGGTTACATTTTAACTTGACATGACTATCAAGAATAAAGAGTAAAACAGATGTTTTATTTATACCAGTATTTTGAAAGTTCTCAACATCATTCCCATTTCTTATTCACAGATAAGTGTTCACTTATTCACTGTTCTTCATGATAAGAACTATGAAGAAAATCAAGTAGAAGGACAAATGGATATAGGGATAGGCAGGTGCTTAGAGAAAGTGATTAAGGAACGCTTCTCTGAATGAGGAGGTGAGTTATATGAGAAGAATATTCCATTATAAACAAATGCTTCATGTGTTCAAGGAAGGAGCAGGAGGCCAGTTTGCTGCAGAGTTGCAGTGAAAGGGAGAGAGGCAGGGAACGCGGTAGGAGAGGCGCATGGAGTCTGATCAGGTAGGGCCTTGTTGGCCATGATAAACATTGTACACTTAATACTAAATGTGTAGAATACCATGGAAAACTGAAAGCAGATTATAGAAAATTAAGTTATATCTGTAGACATCAAAGGCATTTCAACAATCGGGATTATTTTTCTTATAACACACATACATACACAGAGATTTCACAACATCTTCCCTTTCCTGGTATCACAGGTGGACTCACCCTCTGTTTCACACCATTGACAGTATAGCTTACCTGATTTTCATCCTGTACTTCCATGCTGTACTGGTCACCTGGTTGAACTTCCGTGACTTTCTCTCCAAGGAGGAAACCCAGACGAGTCATGAGTGTGTTTGCTGCCTCATCTACAGAGGGAGGGGGGCCAAGTTCCTGTTCAGCATCATCTACAACAGAAGACAGCAAAACACACAAAAATTTCAAAATAAAATGGCCCAGATGTACAACTATTCTTATATTCAGTTTGGTCATTTCCTTAGTTTTCATATTCTAAATCCAAAACTACAAGGTCCTTGTCTGTAAGATTTTCCCACTTTTTCAGATTATAATTAATATATAATCTACTCAAATTATCCTCATTTTATCTACCAGAACCACCCAAGTTTGAGAGAAAATTTCTACAACTTGTTGAGTAGAAATAGCTTCCCATTTCTTTGGCAGTTAACTTTCCAGAGATTCCTTCTCTTGGGATACTGGCCACAGTCATCACCTTCATTCAGGATTTTTATTTATTTTTCAGTTTGTGTAAATATATATATTTTTTAATTTTTGAAATCCCTTCAAACTTTCAAAAAGTTTCAAGAATAGCACAAAGAATATTTTTTTTCCTTAACCATGCTGAAGTATAGACATGCTGCCCCATCATCCTCAGATGGTATTTTCTATAAACAAGGATATTCTCTTATATACACATAGTACCAGCACAGAAACCAGGAAACTAACACTTTACATCATTATACATCATCTAGACCCCATTAAGTTTTTACATTTGTCCCAGTAATGTCCTTTTTAACAAAAGGATCTACGTCAGGAGTATGCAATGCATTTAGTTCTCAGTTCTTTATTATCTTTTAAAATCTAGAACAGTTCCTTAGTCTTTTCTAAACTGTCACTATCTTTTTTATTTTACCAAGGAATAAGAATGTTTCAGTCATTCTTAGGACATGGGAAACATTTAAATCAACATATTTGTAAATGTAAAAATAACCATATTACTTTTGTAATATTCCTGCAAAAAATGCATAAACTGAATCAAATCATGATGTAACATGAGATGAATTCAAATTAAGGGATACAGAACAATTGGTGTGTAATCTTTAAAAGTATCCTGGCACCACGAGGGTGGTGTACCCAAACTTATGGAACAGATGCTTCTGTGTTAGGGAGTCTTCAAGATTTTAACCTATGTACTTCTTCGTCTATCTGTTCATCTGTATTATGTAAAGATATCTTTTGCAATAAACCAGTAAAAATAAGTAAAGTATTTCCCTGTGTTCTGTGAGCCATTTACAGCAAGTTATCAAGGAAGGGGCTGTGGGAACTCCCAATTTGTACCCAAGTTAGACAGAAGTACAGGTAACCTGTCAACCTACTACTTGTGAGTGGTGTCCAAAGTGGAGGTAAAGGGACAAATACCATATGATTTCACTCATATGTGGGAGATAAACAAAGCAAATGAACACACAAATAAATTCCTAGATTCTGACAACAGAATGATGGTGACCAGAGAAGAGGATAGATTAAGAGAATGGAAAGTAGGCTTTTGGTGATCCAAACATAGTATATGGAGATGTGAAAACATAAAGCTGAAAGAAAAATTCAGAAAAAAAAAAATCTGTTAAAATTTTATACCTAGCTAAGATCTCATTTGAGCATCATTGTTAAAGACATTTGAGACAAATGGAAACCAAAGTGTTTATCACCAACAGACGCTCACTAATGAAAATGCTGAAGGATGTACTTCAAAAAGGAGTTATAATCAAGTAGAAGGACACGGATGCAAAGAAGAAAATGATAAAGTAATTGCTAAATAATTGGTCAAGCATAAAAATAAACTAATGTACCTTCTAAAAAACCCACAATGAGATATCACTACATATGTGCAGTGCAGAATAACACACATACTTGAAATCATCGTAATAGATGAGTTTAACAGAAGAGTCAGGGAAAAAGTGGACGGAACAGTTTTCAGATTCAAATTCTGTGTGACTTAACAGTTCAACACAAATACAGAACTCTAAGAACATAACTGATTAAATATAGCTTATTTTAAATCCTGCTTTGAAATAGTGTTTTATTTTCATAATAATATTGGTAACAGTACTAGTGGTAATAATAATGACTACCACTTATTGAGATATTACTGTCTGGTACTTTTCTAAGTGTTTTATATGTACTAAATCGCTTAATCGTCACAGCAGCCCTTGGCTGACAGATAGTAAAAGTGAGGCACACAGAGATTGAGTTCTTGTTTGCCCATGGTTAGTTAATTTAGTCACAGACTCAAATGAATTCCAGGTCACGAGGCTTCTTAAGCTTAGGTTCTTAACCACCCCATCACTTATGCCAAGAAATGTGACTGAGTACAAATTGTTTATACGGCTATTTCAATTATTTTTATCTAGAACAATGTCTAGTAGAATTATCTGATGATAGATAATACAGGAAAGCATTCATTAATTCTTAATGAGTATGTTGTGTGTGTCCAGCACTATCTTATATTTATGGACAAACTATCTTTTAAGGAATTGATAGTCTCACAGGGGAAAACAGAAAATAAATAATTTGATTAAATCACTGAGTTAAATTGTGAGAAATATAATTCAGGTGCAAAACAGGATGCTGTGAAAAAGCAAGTATTGAGTATTTCTGAACACAAGAACCTTTATTTTTCTTGATACCAATTCCCCTTTCAGACTTGGTTTACACTTTACAATACTTGCAAAAAGTGCCTTCTTAGTCAGCATGCACAGGGCAAATTAATTATTAAAAATGTGCCAAGAAATGAATGTATAGCAGCTAAAGTACCGAATCCCTAATCTCTATTCCTAACATGGCAGGCTACACATAGTTTAGTTCCATATTCTTAATTCTCAGCATTTTCACATCAGGCTGTTTACATTTTTCTTTATGATCTGTTAATTATAAACTGCTTGTTCTCATCTGTTTCAAGACTCAGAAATTTGTACCACATTTAATCAAATAAAGAAACCCAGTATTTCTCTCTAACAGAGTCACAAAACCCATGATTAGTTTGGGGCCCAACTGCCAAAGAAAACCTGGTTGTATTTTCATTTCTTAGTTCTTAAACAATTATCTACTTTTTTCATTTTTCTGATAAATGTGGGAAAATGTGTTTACTGCTAAAAGCAGGGGCTGCCATTTGTCACAGTAAATGCTGAAGCCAATACAAGGGTTCTTCTACATTCCCCCAATCTGAGTTTCTGATTATGAAAATCATTGCCTACTAGTGATCAAGAATCAAGCAACCACACCAGCTCATCTCCATTCAGAGAGGCTGACTTTAAAGCATCCCCCACAATTTTTTGTTCCTTTAGGTATATTTGAATAAGGAGAGGAAACAGACTAAACAAATGTTGAAACTAAGGGATGGGTACATGGGCGATTCATTGGGTATGTTTAAAACTGTACATAATCAAAGTTTATTTCTGGCTTGGACATGTTTATTTGGATCTTGAAATGTTATGGCAGAGGCTTGAAACGGGACTGCACAGTTAGACTCGTGTTCTTGTGCGCTGGGTTTCCACCAAAAGGAGCTTCTTTCTAGCAGATGCCCCTTCAGCCTGGACCACAGAAAGAACACACACAACCAGAGCCCAGCTTGCCACTAAAGCTGCTACTACAGACTCAAACAAGAGTCAGTCCAACCAACACTTGGGAATCCTTCAATAAGAAATAAATTGCTTATTTTTGTTTGGTATATGATTTAGGGTAGTCTGTTACATAGCATATATGAGCATTTAATTTTTAGATATTTAACTTGACTCAAATACAACCATAACTTAATTAGCAGACCACAGTGAAATCCTGGTGGTTTTTCTTACCATGTATTTTCTGTTCAGTATGATCAGTCTCCTAACTCATCTTCATACTCACTCATTTCTAGTTGCCATCTTATTCCAGATTCTATTCTACTTCTTACTTATCTATAGATCTCCTTTTAAATATATAATTTAGGTACAATAAATTATATTCCTATTAAGTATACTATTCAATGAATTTTGACAGATATGTACATATATGAAACAACCACCAAATCAAAATATAGAACATTTTTATCTTCTCCAGATGTTTTCTTGCACCCCTTTGCTGTCAAACCCTCTCTTAACCTTGAGCCACAGACAACCACTGATCTTTCAGTTACCTTAGTTTATATTTTCTATAATTTTACATAAATAGAATTACACAGTATATATTCTATTTTGCCTGGTTTCTTTTACTCAGCATAATGTTTTTGAAACCCATCCATGTGCAGTGTTTTAATAGTTTGCTCTTTTTAAACCAGAGTTGTGTTCCTTTGTGTAGGTAAAGGAATTTGTTATTCGTTCCCTGCTGATGGATACAGGGTTGTTCCCAGTATTGGGCTATCACATAGAAAAAGGGTTGTGAACATTCAAAATGTCTTTGTGTAAACATATTTTTAGCTTCTCTTGAACAAATACATAGGTGAATAATGGGTGAATTATAAATTTAAAATTTATTTTAGTTGAACTTTATAGAAAGTTGCCAGTTTCCAAAGAAATTGTTTCACTACACTCTCACAAGTAGTTCAGGTTGCTTTTTAATCTCATCAACACTTTGTATAGTCAGTTGTTCGATTTTAGACAAACTAATGGGTGCACAGTGGTATCTCGAAGTTTTAATTTGAACATCTTTAATTACTAATGATGGTGAGCACATTTTCATGTATTTACTGGACATTTTTTTTTAAATAATAAATTTTATTTTTATATTCCCCATACAATTGCAGCCCCCCCATTCTGACCCCAATCCCTCCCCTCCTGCCCCCACCCCCCTAAAGTGTCTCTGGTTCATAGTTTTTTGTTGATTTTGATTTTCACTTTCTTATAGTTATTCATTTTCCTGGTCCCTTATTTAAGTTTTCTAGATTCCTGCTATGAGTGAGACCATCCGGTATTTTTTTCTTTTTGGCTTATTTCGCTGAGCATGATCCCTTCCAGCGCCATCCATGTTGCTGCAAATTGCATGTGTTTATATTTGTTGAATGCTGAGTAATATTCCATGGTGTATATGTACCACATCTTCTTGATCCAGTCATCTATTTTTGGGCATTTGGGTTGTTTCCAAAGCTTAGCTATTGTAAACAGTGCTGCTATAAACATAGGGGTGCAGGTGTTCTTTGGAA